GGTTGAGCGCCTGCACACTCGTTTCGTAAGTTGACTTAGGCATACGAAGTTCATTCCCAGTCTAAGCATATGGAGTTCATTCCCAGTCTAAGATCGGACCAGATCGAGGGTTGCAGCAGCACATGCTAGGCTTGGGCATGTGTCGGTGCCATATTTTTCTTCACCAGGGCACCATCACCGGAGCATCACCGGAGAACCTGACCGACGGCATTGGGGTTCCGCCGATCGAGGGGGCCGGGGAGGGTGTGCGCACATGATGTGTGATGGGTGCTGGTATGTAGCCCTTATATTGGCCCCCTATCCCTCATCAAACCTCAAGAACTCACACCCCCTTAAAGAGCATTTGAGATTTTACAGGTTTGCTGCCAGTAGCAATTAAAGTGTTTCTAATGGGGATAGTTTTTTCAAATGGTCACAAAATCTTGTACACTTCAAGTTTTTAGCTGAATTTTTTTATGCATGCCAATAAAAATACAAGGATCACGTCTACCAAGCTTGGGGCCAAAAATCCTTCCAAAAAAATTTTAAAAAATTCCAAATCGTAAAAAGTTTCAAAAATTGTGAAAAATAGAAAACGAGTCATCTTGCCATGAAACTTCACGTGAAGGCTTAAGGGACCATTGTATGAATTTACAAGCCATAAAAATGACATTGGCATGCAAAAATATGAAGATGTGCGTAAACCCACCTACCACCCTATCAATCCACGGCTTGCGCATCCTGTCTCTCTGGCCAGCGTAGTGCCCGCCCGCCCGCTCATTTCGTCGGTTGACATAGGCATACAGAGTTCATTCCCAGCCTAAGATCAGACCGGATCGAAGGTTGCGGCAGCACATAAAGGGGGACCCAGCCGATCCCCGGCTTGCGCATCCCTCCCCTCTGGTCGGCTGAGCACCCCCACGCTCGTTTCGTGGGTTGACTTAGGCATACAGAGTTGATTCTCAGTCTAAGCGTACAGAGTTCATTCCCAGTCTAAGATTGGACCGGACCGAGGGATACGACAGCACAGGCTGGGCTCGGGCATGTGCTGGTGCCGCATTTTTCTTCACCGGGCCACCATCGTCGGAGCATCGCCGGAGAACCTGACCGACAGCATTGGGGTTCCGGTGATCGAGGGGGCCGGAGGGGTGTGCGCACATGATGTGCGATGGGTGCTGGTACTTGGCCCTTATATTGGCCCCCTATCCCTCATCAAACCTCAAGAACTCACACCCCCTTAAAGAGCATTTGAGATTTTACAGGTTTGCTGCCAGTAGCTATTAAAGTGTCTAAAATGGGGACACTTTTTTCAAATGGTCACAAAATCTTGTGCACTTTGAGTTTTTAGCTGAATGTTTTTGTGCATGCCAACAAAAATAGAAGGATCACGTCTACCAAGTTTGGGGCAAAAACTCCTTTCGAAAAAATTTTAAAAAATCTCGAACCGTAAAAAGTTTCAAAAATCGTGGAAAATAGAGAACGAGTCGTCTTGCCATTAAACTTCACGTGAAGGTTTAAGGGACCATTGTATGAATTTACAAGCCATAAAAATGGCATTGGCAAGCAGAAATATGAAGATGTGCCTAAACCCACCTACCACCCTATCGATCCACGGCTTGCGCATCCCGTCTCTCTGACTGACGTAGTGCCCGCCCAACCGTCCGCCCGCCCGCTCGTTTCGTCGGTTGGCTTAGGCATACGGAGTCCATTCCCAGTCTAAGAACGGATCAGACTGAGGGTTGCAGCAATAGGATCGGCAGCACGCAGAGGGGGACCCGGCCGATCCCCGGCTTGCGCATCCCACCCTTCTGGCCGGTTGAGAGCCCGCACGCTCGTTTCATGGGTTCACTTAGGCATACGGAGTTCATTCCTAGTCTAAGATTGGACCAGACCGAGGGTTGCGATAGCACATCCTGGGCTCGGGCATGTGCTGGTGCTGTATTTGTCTTCGTCGAGGCACCATCATCGGAGCATCGTTGGAGAACCTGATCGGTGATATTGGGGTTCCGACAATCGGGGGTGCCGGGGGGGGCGTGCGCACATGATGTGCGATGGGTGCTGGTACTCGGCCCTTATATTGTCCCCCTATCCCTCATCAAACCTCGAGAACTCACACCCCCTTAAAGACCATTTGAGATTTTATAGGTTTGCTGCCAGTAGCAATTAAAGTGTCTGAAATAGGGACACTTTTTTCAAATGGTCACAAAATCTTGTACACTTCGAGTTCCTAGCTTAATTTTTTTGTGCATGCCAACAAAAATACAAGGATCACGTCTACCAAGTTTGGGGCCAAAACTCCTTCCGAAAAAATTTTAAAAAATCCTGAACCGCAAAAAGTTTCAAAAATCATGGAAAAGAGAAAACAAGTCGTCTTGCCATGAAACTTCACATGAAGGCTTAAGAGACCATTGTATGAATTTACAAGGCATAAAAATGGCATTGGCATGCAGAAATATGAAGATGTGCCTAAACCCACCTACCACTCTATCAATCCACAGCTTGCGCATCCTGTCTCTCTGGTCGATGTAGTGCCCGCCCGCCCGCCCACCCTTTCATTTCGTCGGTTGGCTTAGGCATACGGAGTTCATTCCTAGTCTAAGATTGGACCGGACCGAGGGATGCGGCAGCAGGATCGGCAGCACACAGAGGGGGACCCGATCGATCCCCGGCTTACGCATCCCACCCCTCTGGCTAGCTGAGAGCCCGCACGCTCGTTTCTTTAGCCTTTCTATTTCTTCAGTGTCATCACTTGTCAATATAATATCATCAACATTAATGATCAATATAGTCTTTTTTTCCATGTTGTGAGTGTTTAAAAACAAAAAGTATGATCAATTTGTCCTTGGTTAAATCCATGTCTCTTTACTAATTTTACAAAGCAATCAAACCAAGCCTTGGTGACTGTTTTAAACCATAGAAAGACTTCTTCAGTTTGCATACCATTCTGTCATTGTTTCTTCAGTGTCATCACTTGTCAATATAATATCATCAACATTAATGATCAATATAGTCTTTTTTTCCATGTTGTGAGTGTTTAAAAACAAAAAGTATGATCAATTTGTCCTTGGTTAAATCCATGTCTCTTTACTAATTTTACAAAGCAATCAAACCAAGCCTTGGTGACTGTTTTAAACCATAGAAAGACTTATTTAGTTTGCATACCATTCTGTCATTGTTTCCCCTTTCAAAGCCAGAAGGTAAATCCATAGAAACTTCTTCATCCAGTTTCCCATTAAGAAAGGCATTATTGACATCCATCTAGTGTCATGGCCAGTCAAGATTAGTAACTAATGAAAGCAGTACCCTTATAATATTCAATTTAGCAACTGGAGCAAAGGTTTCAATGTAGTCTACTCTAAAATTTTAAGTAAATCTTTTCGTAAATAATCAGGCCTTGTGTCTCTCTATCCCACCACATGAATTATACTTAATAGTAAATACCCATTTACATCCAACTGATATTTTACCTCTAGGTAACTCCACAATATCCCAAGTCTCATTCATTTTCAATGCTTTTATCTTTTCAAGTACAACAACTTTCTATTTTGGGATTTTTAGAGCTTCATGAATATTTTATAGGATTTTAGTTACCTTAGTCTTTTTTAACATGGCACGAAATGTAGTAGACAAACGATTATAGGATAGATAATTGGACAATGACTGTTGAGTGCACTATCGTACACCTTACTTGTCTAAATCATCAGGTGGAGTATTCATTGGTGATGGTGCGGCAAGCATAATCTTTTTCTAATTCAAAATTTTACAGATCGATATTCATTGGTGATGGTGTTGTAGGCTTAACATTTTTTTATTTAAAATTTACTTGCGATAGATCTTGACAATATGGCTACGGCATAAAAGTTTTTATTTCCTAAGGCTATGGTTTACGTCATGAATAAACATAAAGCTCTATTTTTTGGTGAAAAATCCCATTTTCTTTTAGATAATTACCAAGAATTGAATTGAAGTATTCCTTCCCATTGTCTATGCAAAAAATTTGGATTTGGACTTGAAATTGTGTTTGAATCATTTTGTGAAATAGCTGAAAATTGTGTTAGCATCAAACTTGTCTTTTAATAAGTAAACCTAACAAGCTCATGTGTGATCATTTATAAAAGTCATGAACCACCGAATTCCAGTTATGTCGTTTTCCCATGAAGGTCCTCAAATATCACTATGAACTAAAGAAAAAAAGGTTTAGAAAATCTATATAGATGATTAGGATAAGTGTGTTTGGCAAGTTGATGAGTTTCACAACAAAAGGAATAGACATCTTTATTCTTAAAAAGAGAAGGAAAATAGTTTTTAGATATGAAAAACTAGGATGTCTTAATCTATTGTGCCATAACATAATTTCACTAGAAACAGAAACAAATTCACCACTTAAAGCCAAAGCTTGCTTATTCACTTGTTAGGGATCCTCAAGGTAGTACACATCCTCACGCTCCTTAGAATTGTCAATTATCTTCCTCGAAAGTAAATCCTGAAACTCACAACATGAAGGATAGAACTTAGCCACACAATTCAAGTCCTTTGTTAATTTATTAATAGACACTAAATTACATGCTAAATTAGGAACATGCAAAATTGAAAATAATGTCATATTAGAAACTTTAATGTTTCCTTTTCCAGCAATAGATGATAGTAATCCATCACCAATATAAAACTTAAGGTTTCCAAAACATGGATTATATGTTGAAAACAACTCATGGCATCAGTTATATGGTCAGATGCCCTAGACTCTATAATCCAAGACTTCTTAGAATCTGATTTTGGCCTCAAAGCAAAGAGATAGTTACCTTGTTGTGCAATTGTGCATTTTGGAGTAAGTGCAATAATTGGTTCATAAGTTATCTCTAATCTACTATCTAGAGAGCCACCAATTATGGCAGTTTTGGCCATTAGGAAAGAAAAAAAAAAAAAGAGCAAACTTTACTCTGATACCATGAAAATAGAAATAAAAAAACAATGTTGTTTGAGGGTTCTTTTATTAAAAAGAATCCCCAAATATATAAAGGAATTTATATGTACAAAGAAACCTACAAATCAGGACACAATCATCCAAACATAGAAACAAATAAAATACTAGAAATATAAATCCCAACAAATAAGGAAATTGATCCTGATTTGATATCCTAACGAATCAGGAACATAATTTGTCAACACAAACTTCCATTTTTTATGCTTCCAGATAACTTGTGAATATTATTTTCCTTTTTCTCATCGCTTTGCTTTAGTTAGACCTAAAAGCTTATTAAAGACAAAAGCAATGTAACCTCAAAAAAATAACCTACCTTTTGTAACATGATAAGCATAATTGCTCGTAGCATGACATATTTTGGCAAAAAAACATTATGAAGACAATCAAAGACAAGGATTTTATATCACAAAAATTTAATATAAAATAAAATAAAAATGAAATTTCCTCATCCACTTCTTTTCTGTTATCTCATATGGTAATTTTGGTGTAGTAGATATTGCAGCTGTGGCACTTGAACTCTTCCTACAAGAAAAAGAGACAAAAAAAAGATATATCATACAAATGTTACACCAGAAACTATTTCACACATTTAACAAGAACTTCCACAACATTTTTATAAGAGATCATTTAAGAATATTGAACAAAATATATCATTTTAGTAAAGAAATATTCAAAGGAGATACTAATAAGAATAAGGTTGCCACTTATAAAAAGTAAAGAGAATAATAGAGTAATAGTACCTACAGTTTAAAATATCAAAAGGCTCTATAAATATTTCAAGTACTAGAACCTTAAAAAAAAAACAGTTTCAATTAGCACTCCCTACCTTTGTTTTTGCCACAATAGTCTCTCCTTACAAACTTCATTGAAAGCAAGTTGGATGCATCCAATGATAGAGCATCAGCCCCATCTCTAGTGCAAACCTAGAAACACAACATTCATTTCATCACTTTTGTTTTCATTGAACAATTTGATACAAGAAAAATTAAAAAATGAAGTAATGTCAAGGAAATATTAGAGAAAGCCTAGGCCGAGAGAAAATATAGATTTAATCTCCCAAAAACTATTTCTCTACTTGAAGTTTCAGAGGTAAAAGCACTGGAAGCTAATACTTATAGTTATGCAGGAATTAGAATCTAATACTGACAGAAAATGAGATATAGCTAAAGGAATACCAGCAAAGGGCTAAAAGATAAAACCATAAAAAAGAAACCTAAACATACCCACTACTTAAAGCAACAAGAAGCAGTGATGATGTTTGGGTAATAGTACTAATGGAAGTTATTGAAGCAGTAGAACTGGAACCAGGAAGACCTACAGTAATAGAATTCACATTTGCATGAGGATAGACTTCAACAAATAAACCATTGGTTCTTGATCTAGGCACTTTAGCATTCAAAGGAACGACTGATTACAAGATAAAAGAAATTTAGTTTAAAAACTTAAGAATCATAAAAAGAAAAAAAATATGATAAAGATACAAATAGAAGACAATAGGCATTGAAGGAAATAAGTAAACCCCAAATATTTTAGCATCTAAGTAAAGAACTCACTGAATACAGGAGTAGTGGTAGCGGATTGCGATTGTGAGGATGAAGCCAGGGTGGACGGTTTTGTCGATAAAGAAAATCCAAAGAAAGAACCAAAACTCCCTGTTGAAGCAGCAGCATTTGTCACACCAAATCCGGTCAAAGAACTCAGCGGCTGATTAGATAGTTGAACCTGTAGGTTCTGCTACTGAAGAAGCCGTAGTAGTAGAAGATGAAGAACTTAAGTTAAATGCAGGGAATGCCAGAGTTAAAGCAATAATAGTACTAGCTGCTGGAGTTGAAGCAATTATGATGGTAACTTTTGAAAACAATGGCATTAATGATGTACTAAAAGAAAAAGAAGTGGATTTCGATGCAACAACAGCGAAGAATGCGGGTGAAGGTGATGATGACGAAGCTGCGTTGCCAAATCCAAAGTTAGGTTGGGAGGCTGAAGATGGAGCAAAAGATAAGCTTGAAAAGCTTGATGAAAAAGCAATTATTAAATAAGGTGCTGTAGTAGAGGTTACCATTGGTGTCGAACTTGCAGTGCTCTTCAAAAATGGTGAGCTACCACCACAAGAGAACCTTGTAAGAGGCAATAAAAGTCAGGCAGTGATAGAATTTGATGCTGAGCAAGATGATAACTAGCTTGGCACCGATGAAATTGTAATTGTAGTAGTAGAAGCTGAAGACAAAGATGAAGATGAACCAAAAGAGTAGCAGTAGTAGTGGTAGCCGATGCTAGTGAAGATGAAATAAGAAGGGAACCACACTAGCGCCAAATGGGGATGAAGATGTCCCAAATCTTTTTGAGAATTATAACTTAAGAAAAAAAGTGGACAAAAAGAAAAACTTTGTTAGTTGAAATAGATCAGAGAACCAAAGCAGCAGAGACAACAAAAAAGTGGATTTTGACGCGGCAGCACGGGAGAATGTAGGTACTGGTGATGATGACGAAGCTGCATTGCCAAATCCAAAGGTAGATTGAGAGGCTGAAGAAGGTAAGGTAAAGAGAAGCCCGAAGAGCTTGATGAAGAAAAAGCAGTTGTCAATGTAGGTGCGGTAGTAGAGGTTGCTGTTGGTGTTGAATTTGCACTGCTCTTTGAAAATGATGAACTACCTGGGAATGAGAGCCTTGTAGAAGCCGAGTAAGGTGAACTGATGGTTGAATTTGAAGCTGAGCTTGACGATATTAAGCTTGGAAATGGAGTTGTAGCTGAAGGTGAACCACCAAAAAGAGCTAGTAGTAGCAGCAGGCGCTGGTGAAGATGAAAATAGATTAGAACTGCTGCTGACTCCAAACAAGGATGAAAATGACCCAATCTTTTCTGAGAATTAGAAATTAAAAAGCAAAAAAGGATTAAATGTTGTTAGTGTAATGAGATTAAAGCAGAGACAAGAAACAAGTCCACGAGGCACTACCAGAGAATGTAGGTGCTGGTGGTGATGATGAACCTGCATTGCCAAATCCAGAGGAAGAAGATAGGTCAAAAGAGAAGCCTGTAGAGCTTGAAAAAGAAGCAGATGTTAAAGAAAGCGCTGTAGTAGAAGACTAGAGGTTGTTGTTGGTGTTGAACTTGCATTGCTAATTGAAAATGGTGAACCAACCGAGAAAGAGAACCCCGTGGAATTTGTGATTGCATTTGAAGCTGAGTTTGAAGAAAGCAAGCTTGAAAATGGAGTTGTAACTGTAGTAACAGTAGATGTTGAAGATGCAAAACCAAAAGAGGTAGTAGTAGCAGCTACAGGCGTCCGTGAAGATGAAAATAGAAAACGACCACTGCTGGCTTCAAACAAGGGTGAGGATGTCCCAAACCCTTCGAAGAATTACAAATTTAACAAAAAAAAAAGAAGGGAAAAAAACTGTTCAGAGAACATGAGCAACAGAGACAATAGCGAAGATAATGCTAATACTACAATGCTTAAAAGAGGTCATACAAATATTACAGTCATTCTTATCGATCACGAACACAAAAAATAAAAAAAAAGGAAAATGATATCCTCTGGTAAGCAAGGTAGAGTGTTATAGTGTTAAATGAAATAAGGAATAATACTAATATTTCCAATCAAATTTCATTGAAATAACCTAGAAAACAAAACAAATAAAATAATAAATAAAAAATGAACCCGAAAGAAATTTTTTGTTGTTTAGATGAGTTAATGAAAAAAAAATTTCGTTGTTTAGTTGTATTCTGAAATCTTTTTTCAAATAATATTAATATAACTATTAAAATATTAAATTTATTTATTATTAAAATATATTGAATTATTTATTATTAAAATTATTGATATTTAAAAATAATTATATTTTAATAATAATATTTAACATTAAAATATTATGTTAATATAAAAAATACTTAAAATAAAAATTTATTATTCTTTATATTATTTATTAAAATATTATTTTATTAATATATTATATATAGTATATTATTATTAATAATATATTATTTATTAATAAATTATTTATTAATATATTATAAAAATATTATTTACTAATATATTATATTAATAGTATATTATTTATTCATATAATATTATTTATTAATATATTATAATATAATATTATTTATTTATTAATATAATGTTATTTATAAGTAAAATTATGCTCAAACGTATTGATAAATAATTTTACTCATAGATAGTTTCTTTTTGAAAAATATCTTTTTCTTTTTAAATTTGTAAGATAACTTTTAGAAAAATGATCTTTTTTTTTTTTTACCAGTAAGTTATTTTTATTGATCAACCAATTTTTTGCTAAACACCTGAAAATGTGAATCATTTTTCAAAAATCATTTTTCGTAAAACAAACATAACCCTAAATATAATTGTTAGTGTAATTGTATCATATTTATTGCATGTTAAATATATATTAAATATAAAAATTATCATATTATAATCCATATCAATATACCAAACACGAAATATATTTTTTTATTTTTATCAAATCTATTTATAGCTATTACTAAAATTAGAAATCGCATTTCATTTATGTATTTTTAACATTTTCATATCATATAATCATATTATATTCAAAATTATCAAATTAAATCGAATATATTTAAACATTAATATTAAATTTATATTAATTAAATATACCTTAACCATAGGTAACTTTTCAAAAAATAATTAATTTCAAAAAACATTTTCTCTTGGGACCCAAGCAATTGAGTTTTAGTTATAAAAAAATTTATCTTTTAGCTATGGAAAGAACAAATTGAATTAGTAAAAACCAAACAATAAATTTTTATAAAATTTACTTTTAACAAAAATATGCATGCCCAATTATTGATTGTATTTCACAACTTAAATTGTTTCCATGAATCAATGTACAAAGTTCTCCACGTTATCCAAAATGTTGAGAACATGAGCCGTTAAATGGGATTTCTGTCCATAACAAATGTATGACAAAATTCCTCCATACAGTGAGCAATGGATACCAACCTTGTAAATATTTATCCTTTTTTCATTCGTATACGATTCTGCATGATGTTGGAAAAGACTATCTACTGTTACAAAATTGAAATCCTCATCATCAGGGTTCGCATAAGCATGAGAATGCCATGCGCGCACAAGCCATTTGAAATCAAGAGGATCTTCAAAAGTTTCCAGGTAATCGCAACCGCATACAAGAAACCTCCAAATCTTTGGTATCATGTTGGTTACACAATCAAGAAAGTCACTAGATATGTTCTCGAAATTTGCTCTCTGTGCTTGGCTAAGGATTAATTTGGCATCAAAGACGTCCATCAACGAGCACTCGGAGCATCTATGTTTCACAACTGCCGACCGTTCTGAGATGGGCAACCCCACCTTTACAAATGAGTTCCAGACACAGCTTCTAGCAAGGGTTAATAAAGACTCCCCTGCATTTGTCCAGAAATTTGCTGCAGACACAATCAAAGAAGATTCTGAGCAAAACAGATGGTGTGTTGCACCAGCCAGCAACAAAGAGTACGCTGCACTAGTCCTACTCATGTCAAAAGCTTTCAATTGACATTCATCTATCCTTGAATGGAGGGCCAATAAGTCAGTTGAACGGATTCTATATGCAGAAGCAAGTGTCGTGTAAGCATTTAGAGCAATATGGTGAAAGGGATAAAACTTGAAATTGAGCTGTGATTTTCCATCCTTGCTTTCTAATTGCTCAATGTGAAGACCTAGATTTAGCATGCTCTCAAGCTTCCTACAGCAGGATTCAGGATCACCAACTGATAGAAACTCAGTTATAGTTTCATCCACATAATCAGACAACATTTTAGTTGTCTTATCCTTATAAAGGTTGAGATCAAAGTGTGAACTTGAAAAGAGCAGATTGGAATCAGAAATTTCCTGAAAGTAAGTGCTGATGATTTTTTAAAATCCTTGTTTATAAAAATTCATGCATCTCAAACAAATAATGATGCAAATACTAGAATTTAAAATTAACAAAGGTTAACCAGTAAAAAAATACAGTTTAAAAATGGGTTAATTGTTTTACAAGAGCATAAAGAAAAGGGAGATAAACTACCAAATAATCTTTTGAACAATAAGTATGAAATTTATTGACAGGTATAAGGATCTAAATCATCTACCATCAAGGGACAGGTTACACGATAAATCTTTTCAACATATTCAAGCTAAAGGGAGTATGAAGTTCTATTAAGGGAAGATCACTAATCATTTATGTCCATCCAGCCAAAAAAGTGGGTCCAACCCTAGCGAGTAGAAAGCTAAAAGAAACAAAATGCCTACATAATGAGATAATTTAAAATATGTTTCCAGAGAGATAGCAAAAATAAGTTCTTGAATCTTGATCCATTGCAAGCCTCTAAGCTGAATTCAACAACACTGACATGTTCAAGTAGCAAAAAAAAAGAAAAAAAAACTCTAATTAAAACAGAATACTTATGCAGTTTCTCATTACCTCTAAGGCACGATCAACATAAGCGGAGGGAGATGCACTGCACCGACTACAAGAACAGGTAAATTGATACTTGAACCACAAGTCTGATTGCCTCATCGCCTACAAAAAAAAAAAAAAAAGTAAAACATCGAAATCAGAACTAAAATACAGAACAACATATGGGACACATCAATCCATCACCATTCAGAAAGTTTATGTTTTCGTTTCTTCCTTGCCCTATAGCTTAACTCATACATGAGTCATCAAAATGTTTCTATTGGTCTTGAGACCACCAAAGGCACCAAAACTCAGCATTTTGAACAATAACTTTTACATTAGTTTTCACAGCAAATGCAAAAGTGCACGAGTAAATGATTTTTCTTCACCTTTTGCAATGAGATGATGATAATGTTTTCCTAGAACAGATATGTTAATTACTCTTATTTTGATTTATGGGATATTTAGACATTAGCTGGATGAATAATAGGCATTGTGTTTAGTCTAACCATTTTACCAACTCCATTCACTCTATTAATTGCCTTCATTGAATAGCATAAGATTATTGAAGAGTTTTTCTTTGATATGGTAAGGGTAAAATGTGGTGTGGAGTTCTTGAAATAAAGTTATAATGAATTTCCCACTAAAAGCTATTAACACAAAAGAAAAATATGTTAGAACAAGTAAATTGATAAATTCCATTGTGTAGAACAGTAGATTCATTTTAGCTAGTATAAATATTCTCTATAAATGCGTATTTTATTAAAATCTACGGCAAGTTTTCCACCATTCAGGATTTAAATCAAACACAAGTTTGTGCACTTAGTAAAGAGAAAATCCAAGAGAGTCCTCATTGGCCTTTAAATAAACACTACTATATCTTAATTGCTTAAGCCATGTTAAAAAAAGAACTAGTGTTTTACAGTTGTGCAATCAAAATGTTCAACCGGGTACAATCCACATTCTTCCTACACAAAAGCGACATAGCTCAATTAAATTATGACATGAATCTAACCACATTGCACACATTCAATTCGCAAACCACAAAACCAAGCCTTGGTAATCAAATCAACATGTAGATTACTATATTAGAATGTAAGAAAACACCTTTGGTTGCAGCAAATCCGTGTATGAAACACAAACTTCCTCCCCTTTTTTAATCCTCTTAATACTCCTCACTGTTATTTTTGGACCATATTTGTATCCCTTACTCCCTGCATCAGATGAAGCAATAAATCAGCAAAAATTTTAAAAAATAAATGAAAACTTTGTGCCGTAAATTAGTAAAAAGAACAACCTTTTGTGTGCTGAACACAGTTACAAACACCACACTCTTCCCCTGAAACGCTAGGAACAATTCCTAGCGTGGAACAGGAATCCTCGCGTGACGGCGTCGCAGTGGGAGGCGAAACAGACAATTGGTAACAAGCGTTAGGAGAACAGCTGTGATTGATCCAAGAGAAGCTCGGCCCGTATAAGGCAATTCCTAAAGAACGCCCATTCTCGTCTTGCACTTCCACGGCGTTTGTTATGACTGAGCATAAGACGACCTCTTCCAGTAAAAAGTCGTCGCTTTGTTCTTCCTCGACTCCGTTTTGTAATTTCCTTGCGGCGGCCATAGCTATTGCTCCCTGACGAATTTTGGGGGCAAATTCGGGAGAGGACGTCAGCTTATGGTAGTTACTGAGGAGGCCGTTGTTGAGACGGTAGAGGTGGGAACACGAGGAGGGGTGAGAAAGGAGGAGGCGTAGAGCGGTGCGGAGGTCAGAGGAGTCGGGACACGTGGGAGGGAGTGGTTGGGGGAGGAGGGACTCGGCGCTGGAAGAATGGATAGGGGAGTGGGAGGAGGAGCAGGCGAGGGAGCAATAAAGAGGGACATGGCGGGGAATAGGGGGGAGAGGAGAAGGAGGGAGAGAGGAGAAGCAGGAGGAGCAATGGGAAGAGAGGAAAGAATCATGGAGGGAAAAGGAAAGAGGAAGGAGAGGCGGGGTTACTTCTTCTCCTAGTTCCATATCTTGCTTCGCTCTCATTTCCATTTTTTTCCTTCCTCTGATTTCCCAATTGGTTAGGGTTAGAGGGGATGTGATTCTAATCTGAATCATCTGATTTATTTATCATCATTTAATACACAGCGGTAAGTAGTATGGTCAAGGCTCTGGTAACTGACACGGCTTTAATTTCGGGCTCTCCGGGTGGTAGAGTCCTGACAATACTATCTAGTACTATGACAACAGTGTGTAGATCGATCAAACTTGACAAGATAATACCAACCATAAGCTTTCTATAGATCAAACATATAACCAAGGTATTCTAACCGATGTTCAAGACTCTGGCACCTTCTTAGCTTAACGTCGAACTGGGGGCCTGACTTTTATGGAGATATGTCTTTCACTATAGTAACTTACTAGTAGTATGATTTTGAGGCGGTATGACTTTTCTTTAGCAGAGGGAAAGGGATCAATGATCTGTTTAACAGATTAACAAGAGTTTCTGATATAGAGGATCCATAATAATATGGCAACTGCAAAGCATACTCAACTTGTATCACTGCAAACTTTGAATAGATTGAAGAGAATGATGAAGCTAAAAGATGTAACTATAGAAAAAGGAAGATGAAATTACCAAAAGAGAAAGAGGTTTTTAGCCAAACATATTTTATAAAGGAAGGTTTCTTACAAGAGATAGGTTTTTCTTTTCTTCGTAGTATGATTACTTCCTAGAGAAGTATCATTCTATTTATAGATGGAAAAGTAAAGGACTAGTAGCCTAATAAGACAAGATTAGGACAAAGTAACTTTACAAGTGGCTTAGGATAAGACTAAAGGAAGGTGAGTCATAACTAAGGTACAATGACTCATAACTATGGTACAAAGATCCATTATTATGGTATAGTGACTCATCACTTAAGGTACAATGATTAAGCACTATGACTCATACTAAAGTACAATGACTCATTATGACTTGACTAAGACATAAAGGTGATGAAGACTTGACATAAGGTTGTCTTGATGTGAAGGCATCATTATCAACTTCTGTGGAGTCTTTTGGAGAAAATTGAAATTAGCACACGTAATTATACAATATTTGGACTGGAACTGGGAATCTTGTATCTTGTAGCACCATGAGTGTCATCATTTTGAGAAATCTTCTGGGAAATCTTTAAGGTATTGGAGAACGAGACAATCATCTACCCATCTGAATAGTTCTTGTTCAAAATTATCAGGAGTAGAATCACAACATTGGAATAAGTGATTGTAAACTCTGTGTTCAAATCTTGCTCGAAGTCTGGAGAGATCTTCATCATTCTGCCAGTAAGGATTTGTTGGAAGTTCTACTAATTCTGAAGGACAGTGAAGATCAAAATTAACAAGTCTTTATGATAAATCACTCCACCAAGTATCATAAGGTGGTTCAGGAATCCAATGTGCCAGGTGAATGTGTAATTCTTAGATGTATTCTTAAGGGTACCACCACCATGGTTCTTTCTTGAAAGGAGGAAGTTCTGCAGGGATTGGGAGGTTGTTAATTTTACAGAGTCTTTTTAACAGGAGCTTGTACTCATGAGCATAGAGAAAAATAGATTTGTACAGAGAGTAGGGATTACATACATACATGTCTGAACGGGGTTGAAAGAAAGCATAATTTTCAGAAAAGTCACAAGGTCGGTGGAAGAAGAAGATAACATGATAGTGTGAGGAAAAGTGTTGGGTGAGAGAATACCAAGTATGGAGGGCTTTAAACCACTGTAAAAAGGTTCCTAAATAAATATCAGCTTCATAAAGGAAGTCATTATTAGCAAAAGTGATTGTGGCAAAGTTGAGTTCAAAGGAGTTAAACTCAATGGCAATGGTGTAGAGTTGGCATAAGTACCATAAAAGAACTAAAGCTTCTTTGAATAAACCTGAGGTATGAGGGATCTGGAATAGGTGTAAAAAAAAGAACTGAGGATGAAAACCAATGGGTCTGAGACTATGATCACCTCGTTTTCTGATGAGGATAGCCTGTATTTTGTAGATGAGATCATGAGCACGTCTTTCAAGTGTCTTTTTGGCAATGATCTGCTGGATTTCAGAAGGTAGATTGTGAACTAGAAAAACTGGTTGAAAATCTAGATCTGGAACAAAGGGTTTGTATTTCGGGGTGTAAAGGTAAGGGAAGAGAAAATGATTGGTGACCGTTTGAGGAACAGGGTCAAAAGAAGGTAAAGGTAAAGGTAAGAAAAACATCATGGAAATGACTGAAATAACCTGAAAAGTATCTGAAAGAGGTTTCGAAGGAGGTCTTGTGAGCATATCTGGGATGAGGTTGTCTTTGCCTTTTATATGCCTGGTGGTGAAGGAGTACTGTGAGAACCACTGGGATAGCCTGAATAACTGTGCATTTGACATTTTCTTCTTTTTGAAATTGAGCATCTGATCAAAGGCTGACATATCTAATTCCACGAGAAAGTGAAATCCAATGAGGTGAAATTCAAATCTTTGGATACCATACTTTACAGCTAAAATCTATTTTAGTGTAGAGTGATAATAGAGTTCCGAATCTTTGAATTTTTTGCTTTTGTAACCACAGATTTATCTGGTTCCATTTTTTTCTTCTAAAAGGATTGCTGACCAGAACTGTTCACTAGCATCTATCTGTAATATTTTTTTGCCATTTGAGGGAATCTTTAAAGTGGGAAGTGACTTTGCTTTTATCTTCAAGGCTTGTACTGCATTTGTCTGAATCTGAGACCACGTGTGTGGTTTTTTTTGAGCATCTATCTGAGTGGATATGTGAGCTGGGCAATATCTGGGAGAAATTCATTCATGTAATTAACTATGTCGAAAAATTACTGGATTTGTTTCTTTGAGAGATTTGCATCAGGGAAATCTGCAAGTGACTGAGCAATATGAGGTTGAGCAATGTACTGACCATCTTTGAGATGCATGCCAGGAAATCAATTTCTGTAGCACCAATGAGTATCTTTTTCTCTGAAGCATTATCCCATATTGTTGAACAATGCGTTGGAACTTATCCAATAACTGTGCATGAAAGGTGTCATCAGGAGAGAATAGTAAGATATCATCAATACAGATCAAGGCATTATCAAGAATTGGAGCAAATATCTTGGTCATGGCTTTTTGGAACAGTGAAGGAGCAACTTTTAATCCAAAAGGCATTACGGTCCACTAAAAGTGGTGTTGAGAAATGCAAAACGCCATTTTGTATCTGTCCTGTGGATGTATACCTAGTTGCCAAAATCTTGCTTTGAGATCAAACTTTGAGAAGACTTTTGCATACGTTAAATTGACGAACAAAGTTTTTTTGTTTGGAAGAGGGAACTTATCATCTGCAAGGAAAATGTTAAGAGGCTTGTAATTGATTACCAATCTGAGTTTTCCACGAACTTGTTCTGAACGTTTGTTGTCATAAAACGCTTCACACGCCCATGGAGAGGAGGTTGGTTCAATTAATCCTTGAGCTTGGAGAAGGGAGCATTCTTGGATTGCTTGCTTGAAATGATCTGGGTTCATGCCTGAATGACTAGCTTTTGTAGGATTGGCATTTTCATCTTTTTTGAAAGAAAGGGAAATGAAAAATTCAGGGTTTTACCAAAGTGGGTGATCACATTTCTGGAGGAAATCTGAGTGAGTTTCTGCACATGAAAAGTGAATGAACTTGTGTTTGAAATCTTGAAAAACATCTGGTTGAAGGGTAAGGGTAAAGAGGTTGGGAAGATTTTTCCAAGGTCTAAAATAACTTTCAAACTTGATACCGTTTCCACTAAGCTTTAAACCTGGTATACTGGTAATGATATCGAAACCAATAACAAGGTCTTTCTGGGAAAGTGGAGATCCTAAAATCTTTTGAGTTATTTAACATCCTGGAAAAATTTGAAGGGTAACAAGGTTGTTGTCAAAGTCTGTAAAAAATACATTTTCATCAGTAGTTTTGAAGAAGGTTTTCTGTTTGGTCCAAAAGTGTTTGGGTAAGACAAGAGGGTTTGCTATGGTTTGGGCTGCACCAGTATCAAAAAAAGCTGTGACTGTTATAGGAGGGGAATGTTTGTGAGGAAAGATCTGTACTGGAGCTAAGGGTAATTTTGGAGGTTGAATGGTTTAGATTTTTTGGAGTTCTTGAACTGACATATACTCATAACATTGATCATCTGTGAAATCATCTGAGTATTTTGAGTAGTCTGAATCTGCATACTCATCATCATTAAACTGCTTAATCATAAACAAGGATCTTTCATTCTGCTCATCATCAAGAGAGAAAATTGATTCAAGATCATCATCTGAGAGATTGATACCTGAGATAGTAGCAATATCTTGGATCATCTTGACTGACTTTTTGTCTGACTTTGGGCAGTTCTTTGAGAAATGTCCTGGTTTTCCATAGAGAAAACATTTTGAGCTTTTGATCTTTGGGTCTTTCTTCTTTCTTGCAAATTTGAATCTTTGAAATCTTCTGGGTTTATCAGCATATCTGAAAAATTTCTTGTGTCTGGGTCTAGAGATTATAGGAGGTCTGAAAGGTTTGAATATTTTGAAATGCTTCTTTTTCTTGTTGTTGCAAAAACATGTGAGATCTTTGGAAGAACATTTGATTTGTAGTCCTGAGGAGGAATAAGAACAAGGCTTTTCTAGCTTTTTGGAGTTGTGCACCAAGGTTTTGATGTATTTGTGTTTTTTGCAAATCTTATCAAGGGCTTTTAGCATCATCTTGTAGATGTCTCCAAGGGTCATAGATTTGACATTAAGGGATCTGAGGTTTAACTAGATTCTTGTTTGCTGGGCAAGTTCTTCTGGAACAGAATTAAGAAATGCTTACTTTAAGTTGACATCATCGAATCCACCAAGTATGTAGAAATACTGGGAGAATTGTTGATAGTGTCTGTCGAGGTCTTTTGGATGGAGAGAACAACATTTGAGTCTGAAGAATTGCTCTCTGGTCTTTTCCAATTTGTGAGTTTCTTGTCCACAAAAGATTGCTGTAAATTGAGAGACAACGTCTGTGATTGTTGGGCATTGAAGAAACTGGAGTTGTCTGTATTCACCAATGTTGTCCCAAAAATTTTTCAGGGTTCCAACTAGTCTAGAAACAAATCTGATCAAAACTGTGTTCATCGTAACATTAGGATGAGAGTTTAATTCAACGAGTCCCCATGCTAAGAATTCTTGAAATCTTGAGGGCCATTTTGAAGGAGGAACATCATCAATGGTAAAAACTGAGAATTTTGATGTTGAAGAAGGAGGATGTGATTGTTGTAGATGAGGGTGTTGTTCAGCATCCATTGCATCAGGGTTATGGACTTCTAAAGTATCATCTGGAACTTCAACTGTTGGTTCTGTCATGAAAATCTGAGGGAGCATCATTTCATTTGAGTCATCAGTATCATCTGTTTCAACTGATTCATCTGATTTGACAGTATCCATGTGAGATTCAGTCTCAAAAGTAGAGGGAAAAATATTTTCAATAGAGAACTGATGAAGGTTGTCTTGTGCCATCTGGTGAAGTATTTCTGGAAGGGTTTGTGTAGGAGAAATCATGAATTGTATAGGTTTTTGGTTTGGTTGTGGTGTAGGGTTTTGAGGTGTGGAACTTGAGTTTGGTTTTGGTTTTGAAGGTTGAGAAAGTGGTTGTTCTGCTACTCTTTTAGGTTTTGGATCAACTTATTATTTTTCTCGAAATCTGTGAATCCATTTTTCAGTTGTACCGAAAGGGGGTTGGTCTGATTGTTCTGAGAGAAGAGTGAAGTATTGTGTTGGTTGTGAGGATGTTGGAATAGATGTTGGGGGAGGTTTGTACTGAAAAGGTGTGAAAAAAGGTTTTGGAGGTGAGGTTGAAGGATTGTATGGTTGAAATGGAGGAGAAGAATAGGCTTGGTAAGGAGTATCATGCATACCAGTATGATAGGATGTGAAGATGTTGTAACTCGAAGCTGCTTGTTGTTGTTGTTTTTTCTGACGAAACTGATTTTGAAGGTTTGCAAGTTGAATCTTTAGGCTCTTCATTTCTTTCTCTCGTTCAGTGAAAGCATAAGTGATACCAGTGTTGGTTTTAGCCATGTATCTGAGTTCTTGATCAAGTGTGATTATCCTTGACTGAATTTCAAGAATAATATTTTGGAGATTGACAAGGCTCTGATCAAAGTGTTGACTGACTTGGTCCAACTTATGTTCAATTCTGTGCAGGTAGGAATTCTGCTGGAGAGAATTTTTAGTTTGCCAGTTTAAAACTGCTTCAGCATGAGAAACACTTTTTTGGTTTCCATATTCATCTCTGTCAGTGGGAGTGGGGATTTTGGGAATGTGTTTGTATTGGTCTTTATGAAATTCTTCAAAAAGAGGGAAATTTGAGCTTAGGTAAGTTGGTTGCATCATGGAGATTTGTGGTAAGGGTGCGGGTAAAGGTTGGGTGGAATTTTGGGTGGAATCTGGTTTTTGTATGGGTCGATTTGAGTAGGTTTGAGGGTGTGGTTTGTCTTTCTTAGGATAGATGACATAATAGTCAAACTTTCCTGAGGGTTCACTAAGGAGATCAACTTCAGGGTCTCCATTTTCATATCTTTCTTTGAGCTTTTGCTGGGAAGACTTTTTCTTCTTTTGCTTCTTTGGAATATCATCATCATCATCATCATCCAGGAAGCTTTTATCTGCATCTATCTGGCATTCTTTGCATTGACAATTTATGTCCCAATAGCAATGTCCTTCTGGAGATCTATATGCATACACGGGATTTCCATTGGACTGAAAGTGTGTGACTGGAACATCAAGGAGATCAGCATGACATCTTTGCATCATGAATTGTGTTGGAAAGATTGTTGGAGGAGGAACATCTTTTCCTTTGCTGTGATCAAATTCTATTGTGACAGTACCATCCTGGTTTGTCTTATAAGTTTGATCAAAGTGTTCGATGGGTTCATCTTGTTTCCAAATCTTTTGATAACTTGTCGTCCACGTCTTTAGGAGAAGGGTGGCAAGTTCTTCATTGAAAATCTGCTTTGGAATATGAACATGTTTAGGAGTTCTGTCTGCTGTTTCCATTTTAACAAAAACTGCATCACTGGAGTGTGAAAGAGGCAAGTTAATGGCATGATTTTAAACTCTATATGCCATCTGGTAGTGAAGGGTTGCCTGGAGGCCTTTCATTTCTGTGCCTACGATCTGGACTTGAACTTTTAAAGCATCTAACAGGGTTGGATCATGTAGAGACATATTGTAATTTGGGAAGATTGACACATTAAGTAATATAGTAACTAATTATTGTTTAGAACTTAGATAAATAAACATTAAAAAGAAATATATCTAGTTATTTGAAAATGTAAAATAAAAAAAAAATGTTACTCACATATAATTTTAAAATATAAAAATAAGTAAAAATATAAGTTTAAGAAGAATTGAATTTAAACTTTATTTTTTAAAAAAAATTGAAAGATTAAAACAACCTTATTTAATTTATGATATGTTATTATATGATTGAGTTTTTTTGTTTTTCAAATAAAAAGTTTTCTAATAAGTATAGATTTCTCAAAATTAGTATTACAAGCTTTTAGATTCCTCAAATTTAAATTTCAATCAAAAACTCTTTTGTAAAATTATTTAATTTATAGGTCAAATTACGATAATAGTTCATGTATTTTAACAAAATTGAAAATTTAATCTTTCTATTATGATACATAGAAATATAGTCATATTATTTTGATATAATAATTTTAGTTTAATTATTAATTCAATCAAAATTTTACCTTTAAAAATGTTAACATGACCATCACTTGATGACATAAGTATTGACTTTGTTAATATGATATTCACTTACCGACATAACAACATGGATAAATAAAATCAATTATCAATTTTACAAATGGTTCATATATTTACACTTGAAATTTAGTCTTTTTATTATAATTTATAAAAGTTTTATTCTCATACAAATTAAATTTGATAATACTATTTGATTTCTAAATTGATCAATTACTTTCTATTAACTTTGCTAACGTGATTATTATCTTTTTATAAAATCATTTGAAAACTAAAAAAATCATAATTTTTTTTTAAAAAGTTAATAGCACCCATTGATCCAAAACTTTGATCAAATTTTATTTTTGTTTTTAAATTTTAAAACATTTTAATTGGATCCTTAATTATCTAAAGTTATCCTATTTTGCTCATTCCGT